TACCCCGTGTTTTTAATAATATATATAATAATTTTAAGTGAAACATTTTTCAAAATAAAACTTTTTTTTATTTGATTAAGCTCGAGTATGATTTTATTTATTATTTTTTTAGCAGACGTAGGGATTGTTACTAAAACGAAAAAAATACAGGAAAATTTGAAAACTCTGGAAAAAAATACTGAAAAGAAAAGGATTGCACAGGCATTATATTATGGAGAACCAGGACAAAGTCCGTTAACCAGGACTACTGTTATTACTAACCAAGAGATTAAGAAACCAGTGCATGCTAGATTGGGTAAAAAAGTGCGCCTATATAGAGCTCCACTTATCTTTAACAACAACAGAATAATCAAATCAAAAAACCGCTTTCAAAGATCAAATACAGGAGTTCGTCGTTTATTTAGTGTTCAAGGTAGGATTCAGAAAATTAGAGAACAGCAAATTCTACAGCGTCAAAATATGGTTGACGGCCAACAAATTGTTTCAACCAGGCCCTCTAATAAGATTCGGCTGCAAAGAACTCGTCCTATTACCCCCTTGAAACCTACAAATTTAACAGTGCAAGTGACTAATAATAAAAACTCTCCTAGATTTGACACTAGCTCTTCTGGAATAGCTAGACATAATCCTCTGGGATGCTTAAACCCAAAACTTCAAGCAGAAATAAAGTTTTTACAGAGGAGCTGCGGTGTTAGAGCCCCTTTGAATATACCATGTGAACCTATTTATGTTGAAGGTCTAGCAGGATGTATGCTCTTTTTGTCCATTCTTTGTGATAAACAATTTCTCCAATAAAAAATAAACTTGTTGCATAAATTTATTTAATAGTAATTAAGTCTTCCAGATATGTTTTTTTCTGTTTTTATTTTTATAAAATGACTTCACTGTGGCGAGTCGTTATTCCAAGGAGCACAAATTACCAAAACTCCATCCGATGACAAAGCACAGGATCCACAGTTTGGTTTGATTGCTTGTGGCAACTCGTACCTAAAATCGAGGTATAGGTATACTTGACTGTAAAGCGTCTATTAGTAGACTAAGGCCCCTAGCCAAAAGAAGAGATGTCGGGGGATGCTCACCCCCAAAAATTTTCTTCAGTTGCTTTTTCAACTTGTGTTATGAATTAGAAAATATGTTAAAAATAGACTTTTTTCATAATTTTGTGTCAAAAAGGCTGTAAGTAAAACTTCTTGAGAAACTCGAAGATCATTCGTGTGTACGACTTGTAATAAAATTACAAAAGGGCACAGGGATCATAAAAGTAGTTCGGTGTTTACTGAACTTTTACAGGTAGCAGAAATTACCATTAAGTACTTGAGGGGATAATTCGTAAATCGGCTCTGGTATGCAAAAATACCAAAATACCGAGAATAGAACCAGAGAATCCCTTATTTCAATAAGGAAACGTTCAATTAAATGTTTTCCAGACTCACAGTAGTTCAGAGACTAAAGTTTTTCTAATAAAAATTTCAATAATTTGATTTACAAAAATTAAGTTAACTGTTCAATTTTTTTGATAATAACCGACAAAAATGATTAAAAAAAAAATTGCAATATTTCTGGAAGTTTTTTTTAAATTTTTCTCATCTTGAAACCTCATTGCGCTATAGAATATGTACCCAGATCAGGGGTTGGCAAACTTTTAAGCTGGAAGAGCCATTCGCAATAAAAATACTGACTTATAAATTTTAAAGAACCACGAAATTTTAATTCGGCTTTTACAAGTTTGAAATTATGTTAAAAAGTCAATGCGAGCGGTGACCTTGCATTTCTCTAAAAAGCTTTATCCAGTACATAACTAGTTTTTTTTTAGTTTAAGATTTTTGTTAGTTATTTGACCTCTTAGCTTGTTCTTTATTAAGTACTTAGAAGAGAAAGCGTGTTCCCACGAATATATTTACTCAATGATTGGCAGCACAACAAAAGCCAATTTTTTATTTGGTCATAGCATTCCGGAATATTATGTCCAAACGACAACTTCAGGATTACCCGGGAAGATTTCATTGTACCCTTATGAACGGTATTATACCAGCCCTGTAGGGAGCCTACTCTGAACGTTAAAAGAGTAGCATGCAAAATGGCAATAAATATGAAATTATTCGTTAATAAAGTACTAGGCCCAACCTATAAGGTTGTTCGGATAGTCATTTCGTTTTTTTTTTGTGGAAATGAAAGACAGTTTTCGAACAATAAACAAATACTTTATTAAATTATATATTGACCGTTCTGGTCCAACACCTTTTGCCATCTTTCTGGTAGTAGCATAATTCCACGCTCATAAAATTTTTGGTCTTTGCTGGCAAAAAACTGATCGAGGAGGTTTTTGACCTCCTCATTTGAGGTGAAGGTTTTACCGTCTAAAAAATTTTGGAGTGACCGGAACAAATAATAATCCGATGGTGCCAGGTCTGGAGAATATGGTGGGTGTAGCATTGTATCCCATTCAAGCTGTAAAAGCTTTTGGCGAGTGACCAAACTTGTGTGAGGTCTCGCGTTGTCTTGGTGAAACACTACACCTTTCCTGTTGATTAGTTCTGACCTTTTCTGTTGAAGTGCATCATTCAGTTTGTCCAGCTGATGACAGTAGACTTCCGAATTAATCGTTGTGTTATCCGGTAAAAGCTAAAAAAAAACGATTCCTTTAAAATCCCACCAAACAGACAGCATCACCTTTTTTTGGTGAATATCGGCTTTGGAAATGGTTTGAGCCGGTTCATCTTTTTTGCTCCATGACCTCTTGCGTTTGACGTTGTTGTATACAACCCATTTTTCGTCCCCAGTGATGATGCGCTTCAAAAACGGATCATTTTCGTGACGTTTGAGAAGCGAATCGCAGACGTCAATGCGGCGACACAGATTTCTCTCTGTGAGAACATGGGGAACCCATACATCGAGCTTCGAGGATAATCCCAGGCCTTTCAAGTGGTCATAAACTGTTGAATTTGATAAATTTAACCTCAATCCGATCTCACGTGTTGTTATTCGCCGGTTCACATCAACTAATGCCTTTATCGCGTCTTTATCAGCTTCAACCGGCCTTCCCGAACGTGGTGCATCTTCGACATCAAAATTGCCGGATCGAAATTTAGCGAACCAGTTCTGGCACTGGCGTACTGTCAACACACCTTCTCCATACACATCAGTCAATTTCTTTCTGGCTTGAACAGCATTTTTACCCTTTCTGTAGTAAAACAGTAAGATATGTCGAAAATGCTGCTTATCGCTCTCCATATTTAAAAGGGCACCAACCAAAAACTACTGCGTAGAATTAATTGGAATTTTTCACACACAAGCCTTGCTATATGAGCTCTCAAAGCATATAAAAATTATACGGCTTAAATGTGAAGTTGGGTGCAAAAGAATACAATTAAATCCTCTGCCGGGAAAAAACGAAATGACTTTCCGAACAACCCGATATTTACGGCCAATTATGGCAGGCCTGGCGGATCATGTTCGACCCGGATGTATGCTCTTTTTGTCCATTCTTTGTGATAAACAATTTCTCCAATAAAAAATAAACTTGTTGCATAAATTTATTTAATAGTAATTAAGTCTTCCAGATATGTTTTTTTCTGTTTTTATTTTTATAAAATGACTTCACTGTGGCGAGTCGTTATTCCAAGGAGCACAAATTACCAAAACTCCATCCGATGACAAAGCACAGGATCCACAGTTTGGTTTGATTGCTTGTGGCAACTCGTACCTAAAATCGAGGTATAGGTATACTTGACTGTAAAGCGTCTATTAGTAGACTAAGGCCCCTAGCCAAAAGAAGAGATGTCGGGGGATGCTCACCCCCAAAAATTTTCTTCAGTTGCTTTTTCAACTTGTGTTATGAATTAGAAAATATGTTAAAAATAGACTTTTTTCATAATTTTGTGTCAAAAAGGCTGTAAGTAAAACTTCTTGAGAAACTCGAAGATCATTCGTGTGTACGACTTGTAATAAAATTACAAAAGGGCACAGGGATCATAAAAGTAGTTCGGTGTTTACTGAACTTTTACAGGTAGCAGAAATTACCATTAAGTACTTGAGGGGATAATTCGTAAATCGGCTCTGGTATGCAAAAATACCAAAATACCGAGAATAGAACCAGAGAATCCCTTATTTCAATAAGGAAACAGGAATATGTAATTCTAAATTTAATAGAAAGTGCCAAAAATAGAAAAGTTAAAATTAATCAGAACAAGATTATCATCGAAAACGAATAATTTCGGTAAAAATTGATAACTGTGAATCCAATATGCAGCTGGAGTTGATACAAATATACTTTATAGAAAAGAATCTTTAAGCGTTTAAGATAAAATTACAAACTTTTTATAAGTAAGATAAATACAAAATAATTGTAGAACGTTTGAATCTAATCCAAACATTCTCACAAACCCTTTGGCTAAAAAGAATATCACGAGTGAATATACTAAAAAATTGACTGTGCTGTATCCACCTAATCATATTTGATATATGCTCTTTTAAGTAAGGCATCATGAAGGTAGTTGCTAAATATAAATTAAAATGATTAAAGATTCGACCAGGTCCATCATTAAAGAGGAGAGATATGATGCCCAAAGATGATTTAAGCTTATTGACCTTTAACTTTGAGCATAATGGTCATAAACCGGTGGTTGGTCCAATTGTACAACTTTTTAATTCAATCTTTGGTTCCGTTTCTTTGGTGCTTTGGTGTCCCGTTATTTACATTCAATTATTTATAAATTACATACCAAAGAGACTATTGTTTTAATCTATTTAGGATCATTTAGTGTGAGATACGATTAGAAGCCATTGGGTTATTTTACTTTGAAACAAAAATTAATGTTTAGCTTTATTTATACGTATCTCAATTATATATAAAAAAAATGTCGTGGGATTCAGATGGTGGCCGTGATTTCGCACTGTGGAACTAGATATTAATTAAAGTATGTATGCATAGTATAGGGTTGTTCGGAAAGTCATTTCGTTTTTTTTTTGTGGAAATGAAAGACAGTTTTCGTATAATAAACAAATACTTTATTAAATTATATATTGACCGTTCTGGTCCAACACCTTTTGCCATCTTTCTGGTAGTAGCATAATTCCACGCTCATAAAATTTTTGGTCTTTGCTGGCAAAAAACTGATCGAGGAGGTTTTTGACCTCCTCATTTGAGGTGAAGGTTTTACCGTCTAAAAAATTTTGGAGTGACCGGAACAAATAATAATCCGATGGTGCCAGGTCTGGAGAATATGGTGGGTGTAGCATTGTATCCCATTCAAGCTGTAAAAGCTTTTGGCGAGTGACCAAACTTGTGTGAGGTCTCGCGTTGTCTTGGTGAAACACTACACCTTTCCTGTTGATTAGTTCTGACCTTTTCTGTTGAAGTGCATCATTCAGTTTGTCCAGCTGATGACAGTAGACTTCCGAATTAATCGTTGTGTTATCCGGTAAAAGCTCAAAAAAAACGATTCCTTTAAAATCCCACCAAACAGACAGCATCACCTTTTTTTGGTGAATATCGGCTTTGGAAATGGTTTGAGCCGGTTCATCTTTTTTGCTCCATGACCTCTTGCGTTTGACGTTGTTGTATACAACCCATTTTTCGTCCCCAGTGATGATGCGCTTCAAAAACGGATCATTTTCGTGACGTTTGAGAAGCGAATCGCAGACGTCAATGCGGCGACACAGATTTCTCTCTGTGAGAACATGGGGAACCCATACATCGAGCTTCGAGGATAATCCCAGGCCTTTCAAGTGGTCATAAACTGTTGAATTTGATAAATTTAACCTCAATCCGATCTCACGTGTTGTTATTCGCCGGTTCACATCAACTAATGCCTTTATCGCGTCTTTATCAGCTTCAACCGGCCTTCCCGAACGTGGTGCATCTTCGACATCAAAATTGCCGGATCGAAATTTAGCGAACCAGTTCTGGCACTGGCGTACTGTCAACACACCTTCTCCATACACATCAGTCAATTTCTTTCTGGCTTGAACAGCATTTTTACCCTTTCTGTAGTAAAACAGTAAGATATGTCGAAAATGCTGCTTATCGCTCTCCATATTTAAAAGGGCACCAACCAAAAACTACTGCGTAGAATTAATTGGAATTTTTCACACACAAGCCTTGCTATATGAGCTCTCAAAGCATATAAAAATTATACCGCTTAAATGTGAAGTTGGGTGCAAAAGAATACAATTAAATCCTCTGCCGGGAAAAAACGAAATGACTTTCCGAACAACCCTATAAAATGTGAGCAAATATCACATATTCCGGGTAAAAGTTCAGGGCCCTATTGCAACAATTGCGTACATCAAATGGGAGTATTAATTTCCGAAAATGTGAAGAGATGACAATATCAATACGCTTCACCTCACTTCTTGTCTATTCATTTTGCATTTTTGTATATATTTATATACAATACCTTCTTGTTAATGTCATAACTCTATTCGTGGTTCCACCGGGACATTCATTTTCATCTTTCTTCTCAGCTAAGATTTCGATTACATTTCCCAGCATTTGACATTTTATTTCGTTGGGACAATAGCCTCGTACGTCTATCACAACCTGCGAAAAAACTAAAATATTAGTTGCATACGTTTTTTTTTAATTCGAAAGCTAAATTAACGAAAGTGTACCATTCGACTAATACAAAAAATAAAGAAAAGCAACTACTATTACAAAAATATTTTAATAAGAAGTTATATAACCTATTGCAGATTTCGTGTGTACGACTTGTAATAAAATTACAAAAGGGCACAGGGATCATAAAAGTAGTTCGGTGTTTACTGAACTTTTACAGGTAGCAGAAATTACCATTNTGCATACGTTTTTTTTTAATTCGAAAGCTAAATTAACGAAAGTGTACCATTCGACTAATACAAAAAATAAAGAAAAGCAACTACTATTACAAAAATATTTTAATAAGAAGTTATATAACCTATTGCAGATGTTAAGTTATTATCGTTTTTTTACGAATTAAGAGCACAATGTTGTTGTTTATTGATACCCCAAATGCACATAAATTTTGATTATAATTTTTAGTGAAACGTTATTGGGAACACAAGTAGCATTTGAAAATCTTATTCGGTTAATCTTCCTGGTCTCGTTTACGCCTAACATAGTAAACATTTCCAGTGTTTAATGTTCCTCGGAGCGATTAGGAGATTCCAGCATCCAGAAGCACCTATCTAGTTTTTAAGTTCGTTAGTTCTATGTTTGTTTGTCTCAGATATTACTGTAAACTGTATTTGCAATTTCACAAAAACAAAAATTAAACGTTGTCAAATTTTGTCTCTATTTATTTTCCATTCTTCTGGTCTAAATAAAAATAATCTTTCTTCCAATATCGTTAGGTGTCTTTTTTTTATTGTCAAGACTTTCAGTCCTGGTCTTTTCCTCAGTCTAAATTTTGGTCCTACAAAAACAAGTATCCTGGTTCTGTTCTGTACCTACAGGAACTACTTATTACCCCATAGCAAAGAAAGCATGATCTGAACAGTAAATAGTTATTGCAGAAATTATACAGGGCAAAAGGTTAGTATGCTTAGATTTGCAGATGATATAGCAGTATTAGCACCCACCAAGGAGGAGTTAAAGATAGCCTTAAATAAGATGGAACAAATAAAAGTAAAGCAAAAATATTAGTATGCAAGGGAAGAAAGATAGGAAACAAAAAATAAGAAAGAGTGACTGATTTTCGGTACCTAGGATTTCAGATTACTCAGGATGGAAGGTGCAGAGTCGAGTCTCTTTTAATAACATGAAGTCACTCCTATACTCGCGAAATGTTGATTTTGAAATTCGAAAAAGATTACTAAAGGTACATGTTTGGCGAGTTCGGCTCTGTACGGGTGGAAACGTGCAGGGTGGGCACGGTGAAAACAAAAGATTAGAAACGTTCGCAAAAAGGTGTTACGACGGATAGAGAAGGTTAGAAATGGAAAGGTACTAGAAAGAGTAGGAGAACGGAGGCCGCTATGGAAGTCAATATGAAATAGGCTAGATAGGTTGGCAGGACATCTTCTCAAGCATGAAGGGCTATTTACAGACATATTGGAAGCAGAAACAGGAGTTAAGAGAGGTAGACGTAGACCTGGGATGTTCTAGATTTAGAGAAATGGGAAGATTAGCTTAGGATAGAAAAGAGTGGAGGTGCATGTCCAACCAATCTTTGGACTGACGACCTTATTATAGCGTTATCCAGACAGGGGATATTTTGACGTAATAACTGGGTATCGTTATTAACGAAAATTTACAAGGTACAATTCAATCTGAACAATTTCGCAACCACATTTCGCAGCAACTATACGGTCCATATAAAAATTGCAATAAATGCTAACAAATAAAATTAGAGGCGGGCAACTTTTCATTTCGTCAACCGAGGTGTCGAACTACCGAAAATAATCCCATAGTTTCCGATTTTTTTTTTATTACCGAGATTTTCGCGTTTATTTGAACGACAAATTTGGGAGACTTATAACAGCTGTTACGGTTATGTTCACTATTTTTTTTTTACGATTAGTTTACCCTATAGGTACATACTTGCGTATTAGACTAAAACAGAAAATATTTTTTGAAAGTTTTGTCAGAGGATTTACCTCAAATCTATCTTTATGGAAAAAGACACTATCCATTGCTTTAGCGTTTCCACATTTAAAGTTTTCTATCCAGTTTTGACCTAAAAGGGCAATGTACAAAAAAGGAAATATCTTTTTATGACCTTATAGGCAGTATTTAATTTATCACGTCTGCTACAACTTTACCTGTGTTTTTTAATGAATTTCGTATTCCTTCGAATACTTTATCACATTCAAATTCTTTAAAAGTGTCGATGGGAATTACCGAAGGTTCAGCTAAAGTCATTTTATAAAGTAGGGTTTATTAAAAATTTTGAAAATGAAATTATTAGATTTTGGATGTTAGCGATTGATACTTGTCATTTTAATGTTGAATTTTTATTATTTATCAAAAGTAGGTACCTTTTTTAAAACAAAGCTATCGTCCGAGGCCCACTTTATATTT